TAGGATTTGCCCTCTTCTTATGGCTGAGTAGTATTCCATTGTGTATATGTAGAATGTTTTAACTTTTATCATTTCCTTGTTACACAGAAGTGATATACTCATATATACTATGGTAAAATGAGGAAACAGACTGGAAAAATTAAGAAAATATATTTGTAAATCTTCTCTATTCTCAGAACCCAGCAGTAACTATCTATGTTAGTATCTCAAAGTGGATGACTGACTTGATCAACTTGCAGTTTAGGAATATGACACTCTGAATGGGACGGGAGGTTGCGACACCAGGGGATCAACTTCACAGCAGTCCAGAGGTGATAAAGGCCTGAGCAAAGGCATTGGCTAAGGATATGGAGGAGATGGAATAGATTAGATTTAAGGTATGTGGGAAGCAAAGGGAGCAGTATATCCCACAGGAAAGAGGGGAGTCCAAGATGCCTTTCAGGTTTTATCTTCAGTTAACCCAGTGAGATTCCCCAAAAGAGAAGAAGATCAAGAAGAGAGAATTTGTTGATCCAGGTGGTCTCAATTCCTTCATAATTTTGAGTGAGGAATACTCAAAGCATCTGCCAGCTCAAAGAGAAAGGATCAGACTTGCAGAGAGCAGTGTAAATATTGTGAGAGAGACAGTGGAGACCGTGAGGCAGAGTTAAGAGACTGTCAGCTTCTGGAACTGCTTCAGAATCTGACATCATCTCCAGGTCCCATCTTGTGAAGGGAAGGCCTGGTAACTATGGGAGAGAGAGAATTTGTTTGTCTAGCAGAGGCTGAAGAGATACTGCTTGTTGAGTGGGATGAGTTGAAGATAGAGGAGAAAACTAAAGCAATAAGATTTTGGAAGTGTTGAGTTATAGAGAGCATGTTCTTGGACCTGAGGAAAGGCACCCTATCTCCTGAACTGGGAGAGAAGGAAGACAGAAAGGATGGAAAAATTACAGAAAGAAGAAAATGTTTTAAGGGAGACAGGAGATGAGGGATGATGAAACTTGCCACAGGTCAATGTTGTGGAGGAACAACAGAAAACCCTTTTTGTTTGTTGTAAGAAGCTTCATGCAAACTATCTTATATTACACTTTCCTAATAAAATTTCCTGTGAAACACATAACATCCTTAATATTCACATATACCAACCCTTTTTAAAAATAGCACTTAACTTTTAATTTAATTATCTGGCTCACCCTTTATCATTTCATCAAGGCAACCAGATTTCCTAACATAGCTGTTTAACATGTAAACTTTTCAAAATGTCTTGCTAAAGTGTGATCTTTGCATTATAGAGCCAGCGTTACTTAAATCAGAAGAATGTTGTCTAAATAGTTCCTTTAAGAATTTTAATGGATGGTTCTGTGGCGTGTGTGTTTTGAGTTTTTGACACGGTGAAGGGGAAAGGCCCTTACACCACAGAAAAGAAGTACTGTTGTTTGCCAAGTTTCACATTTGTTTCCAAGTACGTCATTTTTCACTAATCGTAGCAAACTAGTCTTAAATTTTAGGTTGTTGCTGCCTAAAGTGAAATTAGTGAATTTTTTAGTTTACCAGCTCATTTCCTTTTGTCATTTTTGGTGAGCCACAGCCTCTTTTCACTTCTTCACCCGCAGAATCTCCTTTGGAAAGGCGCCTCCGCCCCGTTCTGAGGCACGTTTCTTTCCCGAGGGCCTGTCTCTCTCCGTGTTCCCCGCGGTGCGCCCGGTGGGCTTCCAAGGCCCCGTGCGGAACACTCTCCGGAGCTCCCGTCTGTCCTGTCCTGACGTCTGTGCGCATATTTCCCTAACTGCCAAAGATTGCTCATATTTTCGGGAATGCCACCAAAGGCTCCCATGTATTTTCTTGTGGGCACTCCTGAATCCTCATTCTCAGGTAAAAGAAAGGACCCCAACCACCAAGCCAATCACTTCATCGAATCCTTCTTCAAGGATTTTACATATTTATCCTTACATCCATATTTATATTTATGCATACGTATATTGAACATTACCTAATAGAACAGATGCTACTCTCAGAACATAGTCTTTAAGGCTTTATGATCCTTAAATGTTACTTGCCTGGAGTCAAAACCTCACACCAAATATCCTTTTTACATCGTTTAAAGATCATTTCTAAAACTGTCTGCAACTCTTCCTCATTTTAATCTTTGTTAATTTTCATGAGATAACTCTTGACTGCTCCATTATAGGGTCTCCAGTTTTTTATATTTTTCTTCAGTTTGCTTTGTAGTTCCCCCCGAAACATATTAATTTTCTACTCAGCATTTTTGATAGTGTTCTAATACTGAGGGCCGATTTTGCAACATCAGGTTCACAGAAATTATAAAAAATTCAGTGAAGTTTGATCTTTTCTGTTTGGAATGATGTTAAATGTTTTACATGATCATCAGGCCTCAGAAAAACTTAATGAAGAACTTCTCACCCGCTGCTTTGTATACAGATTACCGCTAGTCTTGACTGAGTTCATCTTTAAATATATACATATTGATGAATTTAGATGTCATGTCTCTTTTTTTTCTACTAGTTAATAAAATCTGAGACTAACTTTAGAATAGATGCTTATTTAACTTAATTCACTTCAGGTAGACAAAGATAATTTGATGCCTCTGAAATGCCACAGACAGCTACAGATTAGCAAAATTGAATACAACCATAATCACTCTTTACCAGCAGAAAAAGAATATCTAGATTTTTTATTTTGGAATGTTTTGTTCATTAGGACAGATGTATTTTTGCAATGTAATACTAAAATAGTTGAATAGGCTAGTGGGATTATGAATGAATTTTTAAAAATATGCTTAATATTTTTGATGAAAATATATAAAGCTCATTTTTAAAATGAGTGACTATAATGTGTTAGTATTTATCATATGTTTAAAGTTGGCCTTGAAAATAAATTTTTAATTATTAAAAACAGTAATTTTAATAATTATTAAAATAGGAATTTTATTACTATCTTGATAATTTTTAAATATTTTCTAAAAAAATCCAATTTACTGCATATAATTTTTATCTGCTTTTAAATATTGACTAGTTTTTTTTTCACCAGCTTTATTGAGGTATGACTGACAAATAAAAATTACATATATTTAGCTTGTATACATTTTTTAAAAAGTGTACAGTGTGCTGGTTTAATACACATATTGTTGGGACTTATTTATTTTTTTATTTATTCTTAGACTTCAATTTATTTTTTGACTTTTAAATTTTAATTTTAAAAGAGTCATTCCATTTTAATGTTTAAAACTATGGATTACTGCAGTGAGAATTTCCTGTTTCATTCATCTGTATTCTGTTAAGATTTTAAACATTAGGAATATTTTGTGCTTATAAATAGGCTATGATGATGTCCTTGCTACACTAAATTAACTATATTTAGTGAAAACTTCTTTTAGTCAAGATGTATATTGGTGCTTCTTTGAAATGAGCAAGGTATCTCTGACCAATTGTCATCTAGACACCTCTCTCCTTTTTCAAGAAAAGGTAATTGAGAAGTGGAAGGTACCATTCAACAAATGGAAAATGGTTACATTCTGGACTCTTACCAGTCTTATTTGACCTCAGGCCATGAAATTAAAGCTGTCTTGATAAAACTATAGACAATGTCTTAAGGGTCATGGTCTAAGATCCAGTATGCTGATAGTTTTTAACTCTCCTTGGCCTTTATTTTTAAAGAATAACAAAGAAAGTCTAAAAGAAGAATATTTGAATATCACCTCATTTGAAAGGAGAGCTAACCCTGGTTGTATGCAGTTACTCTTAGTGTTGAATCTCTTCTTTTTCACTTATCCAGATAAGTCAGTGCTATCAGCATTCATAATACAATGTATTCTTTATTACACTGTCAGATCATACAAGTTCTGTTTTTCCATGGTATTTCTTGTTTTGTTGTCAGTGACTTAAAATACAATGATTAAGTTTAAATAAATGAATGTTCAGAGAATTATGCATTCTTCATCAGTAAACATTTGTAATAACTCATGCTAGAAACTGGGTTAGGAGCTAGAGATACAAATATAAATAGAATACACAGTCTCTGCCATCGAAGAGCCCACGCTGTAGGATGATTTTCATATATATTGTGCATACCTGAGTGTATGTGCAGGTACAGATCCTTTATGAAAACTGCAGCTTTTTCCTGTTGAAAAATTAACCCATTATTTTAATTCCTAAAGGTGAAACTGACATTTGAAAATGCATATGCTGTGAAAAAAGAAACAACTCAACCAACACAGAAAAAGGCACAACCAAATACAAATGATTTAGTTAAACTTTTATGGGGAGAAGAGGCTGAAGGTATACAGCAGAACATCCTGAACACGCCGCATATTGTTATGTATCTCACACTACAGCTCGACTCAGAAACGTCAAAGGACGAGGTGAGTGTCTCCTCAAAAGTGCAAGGAAGAAAATAAGGATTTTTTATAGTTTTCCAAGTGAATAATGAACACTTTTGTCAGTCATTCTGTATCTTTATGGTTTTGGTATATCTCTTACACACAGTGGTCTTCTTAATTGACAAGCTCAGTGAGTCCATTTATAGAGATTACTGAAATATTTTGTTTCTGCCATCTTTAAAAAGTTATATTTGAATGCTTTTACTTAATATTTTTGTACCTACTTTTGATTATGTGCATCATTATTCTTACTATATACTTTATTTCTGTTTTTTTAATGACTGCTCTTAAATTTTTATCATAATTATCTTAACAAATCCTAGAGTTAAACACTGTCTTAACCCCTTTTCAAAATAATTCAAGGCCCTTAGTACACTGTAATTCCAGTTATCCCTGTCCTCACCTACATGCTGTCATCATTATTTTAGTGCTACTGTTTTTTTTAAATTCTACAAATTGTGCATAATTACACTACTAGTACTGCTACTATGAATATTTATTATATATATTATAAAATGTATATGGTGTGTTATGAAATAGATGTTTTATATATTTCATACAGATGAACCTTCTTTAAGTTTACATATATGCTTACCATTTACTTTTCTTGTATCTCAAACTCTACTTATTCAATCATTTTCTTCTTCCTAAAACATATATTTTAGGCATTTCTTTTTAGCGAAAGCCTGTTGGTGATAAATTATTTTTGTTGTTATTTATCTGAGGATATTTTTTCACTCCTTCTTGAAAGGTAGCTTTATAATTCTACATTGTATTAGTCAGAATAGGCCAGTCACTACAACAAACAACGCTAGTATCTCAGGGGCTTAACATAGTAAAAGTTTATTTCTCATTCCAATGTAAATATTTTTGGTCACGTGGCTCAGTGATTTGAGTACTTCATCTTATGGGTGTCATTATTTCCAAAGGCTTCATTCAGAATGCTCTGCTAGATCTTTAGTTGGCCAATGAGAGAAAAGAGAAAGCCTGCCGTATCAATGGGGCATTTCAGAGGTCTGGCTTAAAAGTGGAACATTACTTCTGCCCACGTTCCAGTGTCTAGGTCTAGATCTAGTTATATGGTCTCTACCAATGCAGGGACGTAAAAAATGTAGTCTTCCTGTGTGGCCAGGAAGAAGATGAAGTCAACACGTGCTATTGCTTATGCAAACCATTTTAAAGTTATTTTTGCTAATCTGTTTAAAGATTACTATCCTCTATCTTCTGACTTCCACTCCTGTTAAGTCTACTTTCAGTTATTCCTTGTAAGGAATCTGTCTTACTGTCTTTGTTCAGTTTCTGCCTTCTGCTGTGTCCAAACTGTTTTTTAACCTTTCCATTGTGTTTCATATTTAAGCAAATTTTTATTTTTAGAAGTTTCTGAAAAGTCTTTAACTAATTTACATTTCAAATCTGCCCTGATATTCCCTCTAGTCTTTGTTGCTTCATCTTAGTGATTCTAAATTTTATTTCTGTAAGCATTTTATAATAGCTCTTCTCTATTTTGTGTCTGCCCAATCCACCATCTCTAAGTCCTGAGGGGACTCTTGACTTGTGGTGGATTGCCTTCTTATGTCCCTGATGATCATTGACTAAAATTACAGCTTGATTTTATCTTTGGGAATCCTGTGGCTCTGAAGTGGGAATATGTCCTGCAGAGAGAATTTGCTGCTTCTGCTTTGCCACGGACCAAGGGCACTTCAGCCTTCCTGGGGGTCTGGGTTTAACACAGTGGTCTTAGGCTCAGCTCACCTGCCTACCACTGTCCAGAACTCAGCATCCTGACTGCAGCTATTGTAGGCGTGGGTCCTCAGGACAGCCCTGCCTCTGTCCTCCTCCCCACTCACCACTGCTGGCTGAAGCCCCAGCTTGCTTTGCAATGTTGGCGAAGGGTGCCGGAGGGGTAGGGAGAGGATATCCTTAGAAACCTCTCTACTTTTCCATATCCAGCAGTTCAGCAAGAAGTAGGTCTTAGCCACGGATCTAGTTTTACAACACAAGTATCTCTGAAAGCATCTATAAAGTTTACTTTAATGCTTCAAGCAGAAGTGAGATCTAAAGTTTTTACATTATTTACATTTCTTGCCTTGTGAAATCCTTATAGCCTATATTCTCAATGCCAAAGCCATTTTTTTCAAGGGGTGTATTTCCTTGTGTTGCTCCTTCATATATCAAATTGAGTCAGTAATTGAAATGGAAAAGAAGGGATTTACTTATATATATTTTTATAATTCTCTGTGTTCCAAAAAATACGTAGGGACCTACAGTTAATAATTCTAATTTCTTGCATGTATTATTCGTTCTTTATGTATTTAAAACAAATGAGAAATTCAGCCATTTATTATATAAAACCCACAGCAGTTTCTGACATGGTAACACTGAATCTTTCTGGGTTGTCTTAGAGTAGGATACTGCTGAGGCCTTTTGTCATCCTTGCCTTTCTTTCCATGGGAAAGTATGTAGATGTTTCTCAAATGAACAGGTTTCTCTCTGTTGACAGCCCTATATCAACATTATAATTAGGAGAGGCTTTTTATTCTTATTGAACAGTGTGAAAGCTGCTGCAAATGCACGCTGCTAACAAGTGCTTAAAAATACAGCTAATTAAATTGGTTAGGAATTGTAGAGCTTGCCAGGTCTTTAATAGTGAGGGTTTCCAGGCTGACTGCTGCAGAAGTTGGAATAGAGACATTCTCAAATGACTTCTTTCACTGGTATGACTTAATGTACAATAAAATGTGATAGGGTCATTCTGTTTTTATGTGAGTTACATACTTAATAAAAGCTTGTCTTCTTCAAGTTACAAGATCTGGGAATTTTTTAAAAAGCAAATCAAAGAGTATATGGTTATTTGTTTAAAGTGATGTTTGGTATTTGGCTAAATGCATTAAGTTTATTTACTAGTCCAGTTTTAAATTTATTAAGTAAATATAACAGAAGATCATAGCCAATGTTTGATGTAATTTCTAGAGATAAAATGCTTTGTATGTTTTTACCCTAGAAATATTGCAGGAAAATTTGAGTTGTTAGGGAGAGTTTATTTGGCCAATGTATTCCATGGCAATTTGCATATATTGAATGTGCTGAAGAAGTATTAAAAAAAGATGTGTCCAGTTTATCATTATTTATATTTGTCTTAACATAAAAGTTGCCAAGACATGGACTCCAACTCACATAATTATTTCTTGTAAAGAGGGACCAAAGCAAGGTACAGAAGAACACTCTTTAGAGAGCGAACCAAGGAAAAGATGTCATATTTCAGGAATTTGGACTTTAAATAGTAGCTATATCAGTATTTATAGGTATTGCTGTTAAACAGCATAACTGGAAGCTACTCTGAATTTTCCATGGTTTCTATCCAGAAATTTTTATCTTCACTGCTTTTAATTTGCCTTGTGAGAAAAATAGCATGTTGCTTTAAGTAACAGCAAAAGTGAGGTAAAGAGTGATTCACCCCTTTGTGTAAAAGTTTTAGCAAAATATACACCCTGATTTTGAGGTTTATTTTATTTTGTAAAAACTGTTTCCTGGAAACATGCTCTTCTTGAAAATAGAAAAGTATTAAGCATTTTGTGAATTATTTTGAAGATCTAATATTTTCCATAATTTAAAATGTACTCTCTTTTAAAGTTTGTATTCAGATTAATTTATAGTGGGCAACTTTCAAATTTAAGACATAAAAGATTTGTAATTTCATAATACTGCTTTCTTCTTATCTGTACTATTTTAATTTAATTTTTTATTCTCATTTTATAAGTTTAATCCTGTCTTAGGTTTAAAGATGTAATGACTTTACCAAAGATGATTATTATCTTTTCAAGGTCAGTAATTAACATAATTAAATTTCAAGACTCCTAAAATTTACATGTGGTGTCTGTATAGATACATAATCGCAGGAGGTAAAATCTGTATAATGAAATATAATAAAATACTGGTATTAGAACTTAGTGTAAAGGAAATTAAAATTTTAAATATTGTTTGAAACTAACTGTAATCATTCCAATAATCAGTGTCCTACTCAGTATATATTTTAGCATCATGACCAGTTTGGACAGTCGGCACCTTATTTTCAAATGTGGTATTTTAAATACAAGGTAATGTGTTAAAATTCCAGGCATATTTCTCTCTCTCTGTTTGAAGAAGACTCCCACTGGAGCTAAGATTTTTTTTTTTGGTTCTTTTCTCAATACAAAGCCTGAACTTTACATAACAAAAATAACTGTTGGAAAATTTGGGGGATTTGATTTTTTTTTTTTTTTCATTTAACAGCAAGAAATTATTTATCATTGTCCAGTATCTGATGCATCTCAGAAACTAAAAAGTGTGCGAGGGATATTTCTCACACTCTGTGACATGTTGGAAAATGTAACTGGGACACAAGTTACGAGGTAACAACTGATTTCATTTAGCTTTAATTCTGTTTCTTTCAACTTCTTTACCTTTGTTCTTACAAAATACTAATGCAAGTATCTATCATACAAATATATTTGTATTTATGTAGATGTCTGTATAGCAGATTTGATATGTGCAAATACTTTATTTCTTATCTAAGTTATTTCCACAAATCATCTATTAAAGTATAGGTACTCAGTACACTGTAGATCTGGTGTTTTGGCACACTTTAAATAAGTTAAGCTAATGACCTATACTTTAGAGTTTCTTCATAAAGATGATACCTCTTAAGCATAGCATTATGATGAGTCTGGGCTTTCTCATGTTTTTATCTTGATTATTAACTTGCTAGTCAATACCTTGTGGTTAGTAAGAATGACTGAACACTGAATTTTTCACATATTCAAAATATTATGTTTTATAGCAACGATAGAAAAATACAGAATACTTATATACTTTAAGAAGAGTATGCTGAATGCAGTATCTCACCTGTACACACAGTGATAGATAAGCAAGACCAATGTCAGATAATTTTTTGAAAAATAAAATAACGTCGTATAGTCAATTATATCCCCATTTCACACTGATTTATCAAGCTGTGGCTCTGAAATGCCATCAGTAACTTATGGGAGGAGAAGGTTCAAACCTTCTGAGTTTTGCTTTTTTTTTTCCCATAAAATAAATAAATCTAGGGATCGTAAACCATTTTTTTCCCTTAATATTTCAACAGTTTTAGACTTTACCAAAAAAGTTATTCTCTCAAATTTTAAGAGCCTCATCATATTGATAAAATATCACATTGGATTTTCTAAGGCTTTAACTTTTCCCATATTCTGGTAAAAATGGTAACTCTTTGGTTTTAAAAGATAGGATCTGGAAGACAATAGGAAGAAGAATTTCCTTGTTTGTTTTTTTTTTTAAAGTCATGTTTAACTCTGGGACTTTTAGTATAGTGTATATAGAAAATATTGTTCATTTTAAATATTCTAGTAACTGAAGCTCCATTTAGTATATGAATTTGCATTCATAAGAGCATGTTGTAGTCCTTTTATTTTCTTAAACAGCTTTTTTGAGATATAATTCATACCGTTCGCTCATTTAAAGTATACAATTCAGTGGTTGTACATTCACAGATATGTGAAGCACCGGAGCTGGTTTTAGAGTATTTTCATCACCTCAAAAAGAAACCCTGTACCCTTTAGCTCTCATTCTACCTACCCCACCCCAAGCCCTAGGCAACCTTCTTTCTGTCTCTGAAGATAACCCTATACTGGACATTTCTTATGAACAGCACCATATGTGTTTGTGAGTGGCTTCTTTACTTAGCATAATGTTTTCAAGGTGCAGGCTTCCTTTTTAATCTTATTCTAAAATTTGTTTTAAGTTTCTTCATGTGGATTTGAATTTTTTTTCTTTTTATTCTAAAGGATAAATGTTATTTTACTTGATATTCAGAATTTGTTATTAATGATAAGATATGGGTTAAACATGTGGAAAATAGTAAATGATCTGAAAAACTTTTTTGTGAAACAATAAATTTGAAAATAATTATGTCAGGGATTCTTTAGCCATGTGTGTCTTTTGCACACACTGTTTTAAAACTACAGAAGAGTTTTCTATGACTATAGAAGTCTAGTATTTGTCTAAAAGTATAAGCATTTTTAAACTTTGTTAAGGCAAAAGTAATATCCCTTTGAAAAAAATCTTTTGAGCAATTCATATTTAAAATCCCACATACTTATCCACTATAGTATAGAAAGTACACTTTATCCTAAAGACTCAGCAGATGAAGACTCATGTATGTATTTTCATTTAAAGAAAGAAAACACTAAACATATTTCTATTTTTTCTTCTTCCTACCACATACTCACACTACAAGAAAGAATCATTATTATATTCTTTATGTTTCCACAGTTCATTCTTTTTTGTCCAACCTCATTGAAGTATAATAAACTTCACATATGTAAAATCTACAATTTAACTATTTTTGACATAGGTATAGACCCTAAATTCATCACCACAGTGAATATATCCATTACTCCACAAAAATTTCCTTGGGAGCACATTTAAATCTGACTTTATAATTTGGTTTCTTGTTTAGGCATCTGTCTCCCATAGTAAATGATGATTTTATGAATTGGAACCATGTCTTTCTCTCTATTAGTAAATTGTGTTCATAAATAGACAACCAGAAAAGATTTGTTAACACATGTTAAATTAACACACTCTAAACAGTCACTTAAGGTTAGCGAAAGAATCTCAATGTCTTTTTACTGTAATGGGTCCACTTTGTTTGGCCTAGAGTTTTTTGTGCATTTAAAAAAAATGTTTCAGAATATATTTTTGTTATACATTCATTGCCATTTCTGTGTGGCAGTTAGGTATAGGCCAAGAAATTTGCTTATTAAGTGTGCAGTTCTTAAATCATACCA